CTTCTTTATGAAAGATAAATCTGACACATTCTCAAAGTTTAAAGAGTTCAGAGAGTCAGCCGAAAGAGAAATGGGAAAGAAGATCCGTTGCCTGCGCACAGATAACGGAGGAGAATATAGCTCAAGTAAGTTCTCTCAATACCTAAGGGAATGGCGAATACATCATCAGTACACTTGTGCCAACACACCGCAACAAAATAGTGTAGCTGAGAGAAAGAACCGGCATCTTGCAGAAGTTTGCTGAAGTATACTACATGCAAAGAACGTACCGGGAAGGTTTTAGGCTGAAGCAATGAGGACTGCAGCCTTTGTGATCAACAGACTTCCTCAACCGAGGTTAGGATTTGTTTCGCCCTTTGAGAAACTGTGGAACATGAAACCTACAGTTAGCTACTTTCGAGTATTTGGCTGTGTATGTTATGTATTTGTTCCTAATCATTTACGGAGCAAGTTTGACAAGAAACCTGTTAGATGTATCTTTGTGGGATACGACAGCCAAAGAAAGGGGTGGAAATGTATCCAACAAGTGGAAGATGTTACACTTCACGAGATGTGGTGTTTGATGAAGCGTCTTTTTGGTGGTCCTCAGAGAAGGAGGTGCTACCAAACTCCAGAGAATTTGGAGAAAAGCTACAACAGAAGATGGGGGAGCATACTATCCAACTCCAACCAAGTTCAGATGAATCAGGAGATCCAAATGGCGATGATGTTGAACAAAAGAGTGGCTCAGAATCCTTGGCAAACTGGCGTGTATCAACAACCAAACGAAGAAGGTGGGCCTAGTGAAACGGAAGAATCAACTCCACAATCTCAACTCCGAAGGTCAACAAGAACACGAAGGCCAAATCCTAAATACGCCAATGCAGCCATAATTGAAGAAACAATAGAGCTTGAGACGTTCGAAGAAGCATCGCAGAGTTCTGAGTGGATGACAGCTATGAAAGAAGAGATCGATGCACTTCAACAAAATCAGACTTGGGATCTCGTGCCAAAGCCAAGAGATGTGAAACCCATATCTTGCAAGTGGGTTTACAAGATAAAGCACCATCCAGATAGGTCAATCGAGAGGTACAAGGCACGATTGGTAGCTCGTGGTTTCTCTCAACAGTATGGACTAGACTATGATGAAACGTTTAGTCCAGTGGCGAAACTTACAACAGTACGAGTCCTACTTGCACTTGTAGCTAACAAAGATTGGAATCTATACCAGATGGATGTGAAGAATGCTTTCTTGCATGGAGAGTTAGATCGGGAGATCTACATGATGTAACCAATGGGCTTTAAAAGCGAAGCTCATCCTGAGTACGTGTGCAAGTTAAAGAAAGCACTCTACGGTTTGAAACAAGCACCAAGAGCGTGGTACGGTAAGATTGCAGAGTTTCTCACTCAAAGTGGTTATTCAGTAACATCTACAGATTCCAGCCTGTTTGTCAAAGCCAATGAAGGAAAGCTAGCTATCGTGCTAGTGTATGTGGATGACTTAATCATAACCGGTGATGATGAGGCAGAAATTCTTCGGATGAAGGAGAATTTACCAGTCCGTTTCCAGATGAAGGAACTTGGTCAACTCAAGCACTTCCTTGGTCTAGAGGTTGATCGCACACAAGAAGGAATATTTCTCTATCAACAGAAGTATGCCAAAGATTTGTTGAAGAGGTTCGGAATGCTCGAATGCAAGCTGATTTCGACGCCGATGGAGCCAAATGCCAAAATGTGTGCACATGAAGGAAAAGATTTGGAAGATGCGACGATGTATCGACAATTGGTAGGTAGTCTGATCTACTTAACTTTGACTCGACCTGACATTTCTTATGCAGTTGGTGTGATGAGTCGGTATATGCAAAATCCAAAGAAGCCTCACTTGGAAGCAGTTCGACGAATACTGAGATATGTGAAAAGTACAATTGGCTATGGTCTTTTGCACAAGAAAGGTGAAGACTGCAAGTTAGTTGGTTACTGTGATGCTGACTATGCAGGAGATCATGACACCAAGAGATCAACAACTGGGTATGTGTTTAAGCTTGGTTCCGGAACAATTTCTTGGTGTAGCAAGAGACAGCCGACAGTATCATTATCAACCACTGAACCTGAGTATCGAGCAGCGGCAATGGCAGCTCAAGAGAGTACATGGTTGATACAGCTAATGAATAATTTACATCAACCAGTGAATTATGTAGTTCCGTTGTACTGTGACAATCAGTCGGCAATTCTTTTGGCGGAAAATCCAGTCTTTCATGCGATAACTAAGCATGTGGAGGTACACTACCATTTCATTAGAGAAAGGGTCTTGCAAGAAGAGATTAAGATGAGACAAATCAATACAGATGATCAAATTGCAGACTTGTTCACTAAAGGTTTAAGTACCGGTAAGTTTGAAAAATTTCGTCGTCAACTCAGCAATGAGGAAGAATGAGCTGGTGTTGAGGGGGAGTGTTGAAGATCAACACCAGCCCAATTGGTGTTTGTGTTGAAGTGTAATCTTGCCTTGGCCCAAGTTGGATCCAGCCCATGGACAAAGAAAGATCCATACACATGCTAGAGAATTCTAGCAAAGTTCAAGTTGGTGGAAGAGTCTATAAGAATGGTGAGGTTTCCACCAACATGCAAGATTAGTAGTTAGTAGAATTATCTAGATATCTCTAACATGATGATTACATGCTTCTCCAAGGTTCCATCCATGCCTATAAAAGGAGAAGGCATCCACACCATTTGTATCAATCAAGTAAACAACCAATCAAGAAGAAGTAGGCAACCAAGTGAGAGTGAGAAGTAAGAGTAGTCTTGTGAGGAGTGTGAGTGACCTAGAGTTTGTCTCTAGAAAGTGAGTGAGTGTCATAGCTTCTCAAGTGTGTCCTTGAGAGTTTGAGTGTTGTAATATTTTGTGTATGTAATACAAGTAATTTGTTTACTTGTGTTGTCTTTCCAACACTTGTGTTAGAGTTGTGTACTCTAAGTTTTTCTCCGACAAAGGAGGCATTACAAATGGAGCTTTCTGGTATGATGGCTTGAAACATTACAACTTATTATAGGTATATTTTCTTTTGGTTTGATATTCATCTATTGTTTCTTAAGACACCTGTTGTAGGTACCCTATATATGGAGGCATGCAAGACTGTAACTACATAATGGTGGCTGTTTTGAATTGACCTTGGAGATTAGTGATAATAAATGGCCTGCTGCTAATGAGGCCAGGCATCAGTTATGCGAGTGTTTGCAACCTTGATATAAAATACTATTTTCTTTAGCCAAGTTTATCTTGTATATGGGGATACGGTTACACCTTTGGTGTAGCCATAGGTCCAATGGACCTTAGGGGGGTGGGGACGGAACCTTGCATGGTGCTGGCTCTTCCTAGTCGAGAACGATGCTCTTCCTCAAACTTTAGCTCAACTTGAACAGGAGCCCTGTATTTTTATTTTGTTTGTCTTTCATTGTTCAGGTTCAAAATTGTAGGCACAAAATCTGATGACTTGGACACTTCAAAGAGACTTGCATTTTTTTGGGGGGTGGGAGAGGATCCATTAATCTTGTCAGTGTTTTCAAAATCTAAAATTTCACCTCATTAAAAGGTTTTAGGTAGGGAATATATCTTGATGTCTGTTTAAAGAGAAGCTTCACTCAACACTTTCAGTGTCTACTTTGTGAATAACCTAGGATAAATTTGGGTTACTCGGTATCCTAACATGGCCGATTATTTTCTCTCTGTCCTTGCTTCAAATCTTGATATTATTCTAATATCATGTTATGTTTCTTGTTCCTCACCTATACACGAGGCACAATGTTAGTTATATGTTTTTTGCCTGTTTCTTGTTTCCTATTAACATAAGCTTTGCATTCTTGCTTATTTACAGGTTCTAGTTGATTTGTGATATGGGAATTTTTGGTAGTTTTATATCCATTTAGTTAGGAAGACTCAAGGACTTTTATTGGATGATCAATTGGCACAAGTGACTTTTATTGGCCTAGGAGATTATTTCCCTTTCATTTTAACTTACTATCATTTAGCTGGTGCGATGGCAAGTGCCTTCGCCCATGAGCGGTAGGTCTCGGGTTCGAGACTTGGGAGCAGCCTCTCTATAAATGGGGGTAAGGCTAGCTGACATTCACCTCTCCCAGACCCTGCGTAAAGCGGGAGCCTTGTGCACTGGGTACGACATTTTTATCATTTAGCTGTTTGACGTGTTGTCTTTAATGCGTATAAACATGCAGCTTCTGACTCTTTGGGGATGCAACAAAATGAGCATGCTTAATCTCGTTGCAACTGTAGCCAAGGTATGTTATGGCTGCCTATCAATATGTTATTAGATGGTCTTACCACAGGGACTGAATGTTTACTTATTTTAGCTTGTGGTCTGTTGATTGATTCCATGGTACTTGATTCACATGTTGTTTTGATCATGAGAAGAGTAATCATAAGTGCATAGCATTTTAAGTATTCTTGAAATAACTTTCTCTGTGTGAAACATTTGAGATTTAGAGCGAAAATTCTCGCATGACACCATTTCCAATATTTCAAATGTTTAATTTTAGATGGGTGTGATATCGTTTAATTACACTCAACTTATACCCTCTAGATAGGAATACATGGAAGGATCTTTTCGTCAGATGGTGGGAGGCCGTTACCTGGCTTTATTGCAATTAAAGTAATAAATTCCAAGGTATGAAACTTTCATAGGTCGTTTTTCCTATTAGGATTGTATAATATGGCTTCAGTTTGAGACGTGAGATTGGACTGGAGTCCTAGAATCAAATTGAATAGTAGGTCAAAACCCTGTTGAGGAGCCTAAAGTATTTGTTGGGATATTTTCCAGCCGTCTGGAGAATTTACATTATGGAGCTTACCAGTTGCGTTATGCGGTAAATATGCACCATATGTTTGTAGAACTTCAAAGTGACAAAGGTTGTGTATTGATCTCATTATTTACTTTGATTTATTTTGTGGCATGTTCAGGGCACTAAAATGTTGACAGAACTGAGGAATTCTGTTTAAGAGAGTTACAGGAAAAAAAAAATGCCCACAAAGATTGTGAGGTAGTTATTTTGCGATCAAATGGTTTACATATGGTTTGTTGGCTTTGTCTTTCTTCCGAAACTAAATGGTGACTGCTATATATAGACGTACATAAGGGAGCACGAGTAGTGCTCTCCTATATTTCTACAAACGTACATAAGGGAGCACGAGTAGTGCTCTACTATATTTCTGCAATGTTTCTCTGTAGCAGATTATGCCACGTATTGACACCCTACTTGAGGAGTTGAGTCGCTGAAGCAATAAATCAAAATCATCTTGGGTCCTTAAGAGGGTGAGACGAACATATCGATCTTCAGCTCCAAATTCAGCACCTGGACGACCATTAACATTCGCTTCTTGTTTCAGAACTTCATAGCAATCTTTATCCTCTTCCCTCTCGCACTTCACCCATGCATAGGCCGCAAATTCATTTGATCGTCAAAACGGAGTTGCCGTGTAGTTGCCTCGTCATGATTTTCCCGTGTTCATTTCAGTAGTTTTCGGTTGAGTTCTTTCAAATCTTGCTTGTACACCAAACGAGCCCCACACTTCTTCACCACATGCCAATCTGCTTTTAGTTTCCCATCAAAAAAAGTTTCGAAAGATAACAGTTTCTGATGACAATCTTCACGAAGAGGACACAGACAAGAAAATATCCAAAGGTGTTCTGACACAAGAGACCCTATGCCGTATTTCACACCATTAGTACCTATAGGAGGGTTCCCAAAACACATAATTTCGAAATTATCATAATGACGAAGGGCAGCTGGATTTGCCAAGTTTTGGGAAGGGTCTTGAAAAACAGCACAGATGACAAGCTCCAGCAAGTCGTCACCTGGAGGAACCTCCACATTTATTGAATGTCCCACATTCTGATTATTGAACCACTCTGGGATTTCACTTCCAGGGATTACAGCGTTCATCGGACCGAATGGCTGTAGAAGAAGAAGGATCAATTATTTATTGTATTGAGAGAGAGAGAGAGAGAGAGAGAGAGAGAGAGAGAGAGAGAGAGAGAGATACCGCGTATCTTACAACCCCTGAGAGTATTGTCTTAATCCAGCCTTCATCTGGAACCAATGCAATGCAATTCAGGCAAGTGACCCAAACACCATACAAATTGGATGGATCTGAGAACCTTCGTAAGGAAGTGCAAATGTCTACATGAACAAATAAGTTCCAGGTCCAGTCATAGTCAAATTCACTTTCGCTCTGTGATGGAAGAGGTGGCAATTGTTGAAGGCTTTTGCACCTCACCAGAATAAGTTTCCTAAGCTTAGAAAGGCGTCTAATGCTTTCAGGTAGACTGATGAAATTATTTCCACAAAGATCCAATTCTTCCAATGAAGACAAGCAGCCAATATCATCGGGGATATCCCCCTCCTGGATATTACGTTTCTTTAGCTGTAAGTGTGTCAAAGAGCAGAAACGATTTAGAGAAGACAACACCGAACTCCACCAAGGAAGAGGATCAGGGCGACTCTTTTCAAGTCCTAATAAGCGGAGAAGGCCCCCCCACCGCTCGCTTGCTTTACCATCCGATCCACAAGGGGCTGCGTCATAGTCGATCCCATATTGTAGATGTTTGAGAGACTTCAAATTACAAATAGCCCTTGGAAGGTTCAAGAGATTTTTGCAATTCCTTACATGCAATTCCCTAAGGCCAACCAGATGTCCAATTGATGAAGGTATTTTCTCGATCGCAGTCTCACTTAAGTCAAGCGTGAATAAATTCTTCATCTGCTCCCCAAATTCTGGAATCTTTTTCACATTTGAGCAGCCAACAAGATCTAAAGATTGAAGAGAGTCCATTTCAACCTCACTTGGGAGGCTCTTAATGCTTTCACAGCCACTGAGAAACAAATGTTTAAGTCTTTTGAGGATTGCAATAGACGGGTGTATCTCAACTAAATTCTTACAATTCCGAAGAATCAAATCCACAAGATTTGGAAGACCACTGAAATTTGGGGTACTCTTCAATTTATTGGAATCGGTAAGATCGATACATTTCAAGTATGGCAAGTCCTGTACAACACCGATAAGGTTCAGATCATATATGTATCTTCTACAACCTTAAAGTTTATTCAAAATAATAAATAAATATATTATTATTTTGTAAATTAAATAGCATTTATTCAAGGATGGATAAAACTTAGGCATTTACTACTGAATACTCTATATACTCATTTTTTTAATTTGGTCCAATAAAAAAATGTCATGTGTTCCATGTTTTTAAAACTCGAGAAAAATAAAATAACACGTCTATTATTTTAGAAAAATAATAAAATATTTGTTCTAATATCATTGGACAAAGTAAACAAGTGAGTACTAACTAATGACTACCCAAATATTATCCTTTGTTCATAGCTACTCTTACCACTTTTCCCTCCCAAAGTCGAACAAGATTGCTTTCACGCATCTTAAGTTGAGCAAGGAAGCGCGGGTGAAAGCTGGTTGGAAGAAAACTAGAAGGATAGAAACTCCAATTTATAATTCTCAAGGAACATGGAAGAAATTTGGGGCCTGAAGAAAAGATCAAATTATCGAATTCCAAAAACCTTAGTCCATCCATCTTAAAGAAGGCTTCGCAATTCCACTGGAGTGCCTCTTCTACTTGGGGCAGCCGTAATGATATGGCTTCAATTGCTCCCGTTCCCTAACAAATAAGGAAAAAAAGGACAAATTAATTTTACTTTCAAGTCTAATATAGTGCCAAAAGAAATCATATCTTCTTCCAAACTTGGTATTTAACTTCTTACCGTATTCGTTGTGAATATATGACAGATGTCATTGTAAAGCCACAACCTACTGTGTTGACCAGGTTCTGTAGAGTAGTGACCAATAATTGTCCATGCCATTTCTTGTATCAAATCATGCATCCGTATGCATTTATTGTGATCTTGATAGAGGAGAGATCTCTCAATTAGTACATTTATCCTATAACAACTAGAAATTCCAAAAGAATTATCTAGTATTTCAATTATTTCCTCCCGGTGCTTCCCTTTGTGGAGACATGCAACATCAAGAAAAAAGCTCTTCTCCATCTCTTCTAGTCCATCATAACTTATTTTAAGTTTATCAAAAATTGTTGGATTAGGAACTTTTGACAGATTATCCCGCACACTATTCCAATCATGTAGCCCTCTCTTAAACAATGTCGACCCCAAAGTTTTTAGAGCTAATGGAAGGCCTCCAGCATAATTAATGAAATACTTAGACAGTTCCAAAAACCCATCATCAGGCAGATTTTTCTTAAAGGCATGCAGGCTAAACAGCGCAAGAGCTTCATCATCATTTAACACTTTGACACTATGACATAATGTTATGCCATGCTCGACTAGCAGACGTTCATTTCTAGTTGTAATGAGAATTATGCTTCCCATGCCAAACCAATCTTCCTTTCCAGCTAGTACTTGTAGTTGGTTTATGTGATCCACATCATCAAGTACAAGAAGAACCTTTTTGTTCCATAAGCATCTCTTGGTGTAATTGATTCCCCATTGTTGTGTGAGAATCTTTTCTTTCAACATCGGCGAAAGAAGTGTTTTTTGAAGACGAATTAGAGTAGGGTCTGCTTTAGAAGCCTCTCTAACGTTTTCAAGAAAGCAGTGAACTTCAAAATGATGGAAGATTCTATCATAAACTAGCTTAGCAAGGGTTGTCTTACCAATGCCACCCATCCCCGTTATCCCTATATAGCGAACATCATTGACATCATGAGCTAACAACGAACTTAGTTGCTCAAGCCCAGAATTAACCCCAACTAATTCCTGTGAGGAATCTAACAACGGGAATGTAGCTTGCACTTTCCTCCACACACTTTTGACGAGTTGTTGTATAATCTCACTTTCGCTCCTACATGGTATGAAATAACCAATCAAAAAAACATAAACGAAGCATTCAATTTTGACTCTACTAAGACATGGGAAATTAAAGTTGTTCGTGCATGCTTACTTATATTCCTTCGAATGCCAACCACAAATTTTGGACACTCTTTTTAGATCAGCTTTCCATTGGACCACCTTCCTTTTATCTTCGGTACTGCTCGAATTTTCTTCATGCTTCGCGAAGGCTTCGGCAAAACGTCCCCGTTGATTTCCAACGTCAGATGGATCTGTCTCATAAAAGACCGGCAGAATAGAGTTCCTGGATTCCATGCATTGAAGAATGGCTGTAAGTTCATTCAAGCACCATTTGGAAAAAGCATAGTTTGGTGAGAGAACAACGATTGCAATGTGCGATTCTTTGATCGCACTCGGGAGCTCAAGATGAATACTTGTTCCTCCTTCAAGATCTCGATCGTCCATGAAAGTCGTAATTCCTTGGCAATTGCACAATTCATGGTATAAATGGGATACAAAACCCTTGCGGGTGTCTACACCCCTGAAACTCAAAAACACATCATACTTCCATCGAGGAGCTGATTCATTCAAAACAAAAGATGCCGAGGCTCTTTGGGTGCTTAATGCCATCGAAAAAAGGTAGTTGATGTAAATCGGTACTGCAAACATGAAACAATAATTGAATGAACAAGTAAAAAGATAGAAGATCAATGTTGTAAAATTAAACAAAAAAAAATTGAAACGTTAAATCTTCTTTTGATAATTTACAAGATGCAATTTTTATTCGTAACTACATGGACTTACTGCGGTTAGATATTTGATTCCATGTCAACACATATTTGATAATTTGATTTCATCTTAAGTCCATGATAATTCAGTTTAAGCCGTTGAATTTTATTCAGCTACCAGAAGAGGGGTTCTGCAAACAAAAACAGTAGTCAATGAACAAGTAAAACAAAAATGAGCGGTGAAATGAAAATAGAAACTTTAAATATTGTTTTGGTAATTGAAAATGTATATTAAGCCAAAGAGATTAAGGACTCAGAGAAAGGTACAGGATCAGTACAAACTTAGGCAGAGAAAAGTGACAAATGGCAAGGAAAGAAGCATAAAAATCACACCGAAAATTCTCACAGAGAAGTTGTAACAAGAGAGGAAATTGAAGATGAGGAAAAGAATAAATGGGAGAGAGATGGTTACTACATTTTGGGCGATTACTCATTCATGATATTGGTGCTACATTTTGTGATTTTTGGAAGAGATGGAATTGGTGTGTATTTTTATCTTATTCATTTATTTTTTATTTGAGTTAAAAACTCTACTTGTCATCTTCATTTTGATTATTACTAGAGTTTCCTTGTCGTTTCCAAACTGAATGTAGACTTATGCCAAACTAGTATAAAACCTTGTGTCACTTTGAATTGCTTGTTTTGTCAAATTTTTCTGTATTAGTTTATTGGGTTCAAATTTGACGTTTCCGCACAACACTTACTACTAAAAAAAATGAGCTCAGCCATACCTCCCTTTAATCAAATTAAACTACAGGTCCACTGCATCTAACCTCTAAGATTGGTTTCATTTGAATGATTTGAATGTTTCATCACATAACTTCTCAAAACAAAAAACAAAAAAAAAAACAAAAAAAAAGGTTTCATCATATAAGTATAAAGATAAAATTGGATGAAACGGAAGAATACATACTAATTTAGTGAGAACATCAGCGATCAAACGTTGTCATCCAGTAATGAACCAAAGATCAGTTGGAAGGACCTAGCAAGCAGCTCCATCACCAACCAACACCATCACACAACCATCAAGTAACAAAGCAAATTAAACTCTCAACAGAAAACATTATATGTGGGAAAGAACGAATAAATTATATAAACAAAACGTCAAGACGTCGGTGTAATCAACTATTATGTGTTGTCATGCCACAAAGTTAAAATACGATGCGAAATGAGAATAAATTTGAGCCACACCGCTCTAATGATTCCGGGCATTATAAATCTCCCTCAAAGAAGCAACAAAGAAATCCACATGCAAGAGCTGTGCACTTTCCAATACTCGTTCAAGAAGAGAAGCTGAAGAAAAAACGTCGACACATGTACCACCAAAGTTAAAGGAGAAGAATTTTCCAGGAAAAAAAAAGAGTGGAAGACTGATGAGTAATTTCCAAGAAGCTTCCTTGTTGGGACTTAGGCCCCGTTTGGGATTGAGGTGATTTAAAAAAAAAGCCACTGTGAAAAAAAGCTGAGGGTCATTTTTGTGTTTGGTAAACTGAAAAAAAGGGCTTATTTTGGAAGCTGCTGTGAGAATAAGCTGAAAATCAAAGGAAAAGCTGAAGCTGCTATTTGCTGCTTTGAAAAAAAGCCAGTTTTTTCAAAGCACACGGAGCTACAGTGCTCCTTTAATGAAAAGACACACTATCATCCTGTTTTTTTTTTTCCAAAAGCACTTTCACAAAAAAGTTTACCAAACACTCTACTGGCTTTATTTCATATTCTCACAGCAGCTTTTTTTCAAAGCACACAATACCAAACCAGCCCTTATTATTCTTCGTTGCCTTTTTCTCACCAAAGCAATTGGATGCAAGACTTCTGACTTGTGTGTAAGTTCCCAACTTTCTTATCTGAATATATATTCACGGGACCTGGCTTCTTTGCCCTTCCCGTTCCCATACATTCTCGTCCCCTCATATTTTGTGCGGTCACGGTTAAGCCATGTTAATATTTTATATTGATTTTTTATAGAGATAATAAAACAAAAAGCAATGGTAATATAAAATGTTAATGTGGCTTAACCGTGACCGCACAAAATATGAGGGGACGAGAATGTATGGGAACTGGAAGGGCAAAGAAGCCAGGTCCCATGAATATATATTCTGAATTGATTTTTTATAGAGATAATAAGACAAAAATCAATAGTAATATAAAATGTTGATGTGGCTTAATCATGACCGCACAAATAGGAGGGGATGAGAGTGTATGGGAACTGGGAGGGCAGAGAAGCTAGGTCCATATTCATGTATCTCTCTGATCATATTCCGTTAATTTGTTCATTACCAATGCAAAAAGGCAAGGAAGGTGAGCTTTGGTGTAACCATAGAGTTATGAGAAAACTTTCAGTTTAGTTAATTCTACTTTCAAGTTTTGGTCACACTAACCACGGTTAAATGATCTTTGTTTGATCGCTTTGGCAGATCTTTAGGCAATCTCCAATCGAAAAAGCTAAACATAGTCTCATTTAGAATTATAATTATGCAAAAAAATATTTTTGAATAAACAATGACATGTCAAACTCATATATCATCTTCAACCGAATGGCCTAGAGATGACCTATCAATAATTTATTAATTTTCAGTTCATACTTTAAATTTATTGGTTGATTTAGTTAAACTACCATTTGATGTTATCAGTTATTGCAACTGAGCAGATGAATCGAAAAAATAACTAAGAGAGGGCTATATTTAACTAGACTGATGCCATTTTGGCCAAATTTTAACGTAGAGGGCTTTATAAAATTATAATCAAGTCATCCATCGGATAATATTACAAGACATTGTATGCTTTTCCTTTGGTTCCCATCAGCATAGAGAAAAAGAAGGGCCGCCTATACCTTTCGGTTCCTTGAAAACAGAGAAAGCAAACAAAAGCAGCAGCATTATAAGGCATTGGATGCTTTTCTTTTGGTTCCCACCAGCAAAGAGAAAAAGAAAGGCAGCATACGCCCTTTGGTTCCTAAAAAACAGAGAAAGAAGAACTAATGATGCATTTACGTAACTGTAATAAAAATAGAAGGAATTAAATTAATGAGAAATTAGAATCGAATTTCTGTTGAAGTTGTATACTTAAATGTTCTGGAATCCGAATAGAAATGATACTAATTCCATAAAGCTGTTTACTAATTTAGCAGAATCGGAATATAAACTAGTATGATTATTAAAATGCTCTTGTTCCAAATCAAATATTTTATATACTTTTTTTTAATAAAATTTGATATAATATATAATAGTAAGAAAAAAAAATTAAATTGCTTTTTTTATTTTGTAGGCACACTAAAATGCATTTGTTTATTTGTTTTTATAAATTTAAGTATTGATTTTAATATTTAAATTTTCTCGCTCAAATTGTAGTTTCTTCTTTTTGGCATGTGCATGAAGTTGTGCATGATGTGAATGAGTATGAAGTTGTGCATGATGTGAATGAGTATGAAGTTGTGCATGATGTGAATGAAGGCTTAATAGGAAGAAAAAATGCATTCCTGATTCCCTCACCCTCATGTAATTCAAATACCTAATCTATCCAAGGAATCCACTCCTCCAATTTCAGGAATTGCATTCCTTGTTTCGGGTGGGGTCCATCACATTATTGATTCCCTAGTATTTAGTAAATACCGGAGTAATTTGTAATCGGAATTTAATTCAGTTTTTTTATAGAGAAAAAGAAAGGCAGCATACGCCTTTCGGTTCCTAAAAAACAGAGAAAGGAAGACTAAGTGTTACATAGATGTGTAATTGACAAATGGTAAGAAAAAGAGCAGAAAAAATCACACTAAGAATTCTCACGGCAAAGTTGTAGGAGAAAGAAAATTGAGAGACAGAGAGGTAGTAATGGAAACAAACGGGAGAGAGATGGACAACCTGGGTACTTCCATTGGTAGTAGTGGTGGTGGTGACCACACGGTTTAGTGTGGGTTATAGTGTCAGATGGTAAATTATTTCTTTGACAAAGAAAAGTTAGTATAATTGTTTACCTAAATCCTAAAGTGGGAGAAGAACAAAAAAAAATTAGGATGGTTTGTAGTATGGGATACTCGGGTTTTTTTTATATTTTTTATATTTTTTTTTAACAACGATATTTTTTACACTAAAGGAGAGGAGAGTGAGCTTAGCTTCATAATCGGTTAGCAATAATTTGATTCAAATTTGTTTTTAGCGAGAATCGAACTTAAGATCTCTCACTTACAAGTGAAGATGAATACTACTAGACCGTAGTACTAAATTGATACTCGGGTGTTATAACTATTATATTTTTCTATTTGTATTTTTTTTAACAAACAATATTGTCTACACTAAGGGGAGGGTTGGGTTTTGCCTTACAATGGGCTAGCAAGCAATAATGTGATTTAAATTCGCATTTGATGAGAATCGAACCTAAGATCTCTTACTTATAAGTAAAGAGGAATACAACTAAACTGTAGTACTAAGTGGCTGATATATTTGTATTTTTTAAACAAAGATTTTAATGGTTAAAACGTTCGGAGATCTCATATTCTCAAGTACCATAAAATTCCTTATAAAAAACAGTTGGTAATGGTCCAAAAAAAGAAAAAGAAATAGAAGCTATGGATAAGAAATGGTTATACACTTAACACTCATTATTTTTTTTTCCTCTAACGTGAAATAGGAACGTCAAGACAACGGTATAACTAATTTATTACGTGTTGTTATGTCACAAAGTTAATATAGGATGCAAAATTGAGATAATTGAGCCACACCGCTCTAATATTTCGATGCAATGTAAATCTCCTTGAAAGAAGCAACGAGGAAATTCCGATGCAAAAGCTGTTCACTTTCCAATATTCATTCAAGAGGAAAAGCTAAAAGGAGCGCGTTAACAAATTTATATATACCAAAACCCAAACCGGGTGGTACTGTTCTATAACAGTGTTTTGATTTGGTACTGTTCTATAACAGTGTTTTGACGTAATTCCCCTTCACTGCTGCTGAGTCTGAGGCTTTTTTTCCCTGCTTAGAACAGTGAATTTACAGTTTTGCCGTCATTTGGTGCTATATGTAGGGGTGGGTTCGGTACGGTTACCGTACCAAAACCCTTGTACCAATTACCGTACAAAACTTTCGATTTGGTAAAATCTATTACCATTACCATACCAAACTTTCGGTATACCGAAGTTCGGTATTGCCAAAAGTTCGGTTGGCATGAAATGGCAATGGTAATCGCCACTTTGTTTTGGGACAAAATCTTTTTTTGTTTTTTTAACCCAATTCAAGGGAAAAACTTTTTTTGGGTACCTTTATCTCATACATTATAGATTAAATTCATCATTCACAATTCACACACATAATAATTCAAATTATGCATCAAGATTCATCATGAAAATTAAGCTTACAATCCAAATAGAAGTTACAAACCAAAACAAATAGAAGTTAACAATCCAAATAGAAATTAAAGTTTCAAAGCAAATGAAAATTGGAAGTAAACTTCAAAAAGGAGAATTCATTGATCAGTTATTCAAGCTTGAGATGTCAAAGCTTTTGGAGGAGGCATTGAACTTGTAGAAGATTGAGTTTGTGTCAAGCCTACATTACAAACAAAGAAAACATATTAATTAGTAGCAAGAAGAATTAAAGTTGAAAACCATTTAATAACAAATTTACTGAAAAAATTAAAGCATATCTTTCTTGTTTTCTCTTCTTCCATTTCCTTGTAAAATTGAAGCATATCTTCCGTTGGTTCCTTGTAGAAGTTTACTTCATCTGCCCTAAGCCAACCACTAGTATGCACTAGTGCCTCCATTATTTTAGGAGTCAAGGATACCCTAAAAGGGTCCACAACCCTCCTCCCTAGGCTAAATGCATTTTCACTAGCAACAGTAGAAGTGAGGGTTACAAAGATATTTTGGCTATTTATGAAAGAATTAGGAACTCTTTTATGTTTGATTTCCACAATTTCAAGATATCCAAGTCACCAACAACAATGCTAATATAAGTAGGGTTTTATTTTCAAATTATTGGAATATTATAAATATGTTATATAATTATCTATTATATAATTTATAAATGATATATTATATTGTATTTTCGGTATGGTACGGTAATACCGTGGTAATGGTATCCATTACCAATACCGTACTATGAAATTTCGGTACGGTACAATACCGTACCATTACCGATTGGTACAAAAAATTTGGCACAAAATCGGTATGGCACGGTTGACAATTCGCTTGGCACGACAATTTGGCAAAAAAATCCACCCCTAGCTATATGCAGGTTATGCTTGGCTTGGACTTTGTTTCGCTTTTTTTATTGGTTGTATTTGTTTTTGGTATAGTTGCATCACAGTTTTGTCAAGCTCACGTGTTGGTCATCGCGTGGTACTTTCTTTGTGTTTTATACCTATACC